ATCCGCCACTGTTAAATGGTCAGTAGAGCCTCTAGTATGTCAAAGATTCTCATTAACATTTAATTGTTTGCAGTTTTTAATGTAGTGTCTAATATTCCCTCTGGATGCTTATTCTGGTAAAGATGTGGATGCACTAAATCTGCAATAACATTCTTGCACATCAGCACTTTTTATAATTTATTTATTTTGTTTGATATMCTTAATTAAAATGATCAAATGTGCAATTATTTTCAGAATTTTAATCTTTTAATTGCCATTTTAATTATTTTAACTATTATAGTTTCAATACACAAAAATGAACTATTTTCTATATAGACAAATAAATATTAAAGCAGCAGAGTTTTGCTGGTGWTTAGTGTTGGACATTTTGAAGACACATATTTTTAAATCTAATACCAGACACTCAAGAGATTTATGAATAACATAGTCCAGGGGTCAATATGGAATTTTTTTTTTCATCTTTTGGTACCATCTCTGGGTACCAAAGAATTTTTTTATTTAATCTCCTACATGTCTATGAATCCCATCAAATCATGAATACCCTGCCTAATGAGTACCTTTCTGGTAATTATCACTCCATGAACCCACCCTCCCATGTGTCAATACAGTATGAACACAAATTGATAGTATTATCATAGCTTGGGAACAGTATAAAGTCACATGTTCTTTAAAACAGTATATCTATCAAATAGGCTTTATTTACAGGCAGATGCAAACAGTATACTTGCATCCAAGTTTTAACAAAAAAAGATGTTTACTTTGGGTTACTGTTCATATATCCACCCTTCCAATTTTTAATACTAACTTACTGTATTATAACCATGTTATTGAAGTATGAGTGTGGGCAACAGTCTAAATTTATAAGTATTAGATCACTTAGTAGATTCATTCTCCATCACATGCCTTCTGCATTGTTGTCATTTAAGAGCTCCACCATCCTAAGCTCATGCGTCTGCACTCTACACGTCTTTGCATTTTAGAACATTTCCAACGCATGTGCAATCCAGAAGCTTGCATGACCTTGCACATGAGCAGGATAAAAGTCTGAAACAGGCTCTGGGGTAGGCAGCCCTTTCATCCAATCAGTCACCAAAATCTCATTATCAACTAACCTTCCATCCACTGTCATTCTGAACATATGATGAATTGTTGGTTGCAGATGATGTATTGATGTCATGATGGGGGGCAGGAAGTAAATGAAGCCATGTTTCCTTCTGTTGATTCAGTGTCAAAATGCCTAAACTCTGTGCTGTGTACAGTTGTTGCAGCCGCTCTAATCAGGAGAAATATCAAAGCTTTTTTCATGTTCCGAAAGTAGTGTGTCACAAGGGAGGTAAATTTTAAAAACTTGCAGAAAAAATAGGACAAAGGTGGATCAACAACCTACGGCTAAAAGCAGGAGGTGCGGAAACGAACAATGCAACAGCTTGCAGTGATCACTTCCTAACAGGTCAGGATTGTATTGTTTAAATGCCAGATATTTTCCTGGATAACTACTTGAACTTGGGTTTACAGAAGCTAAATAAATTATTTGCAAGTAGATCCAAGCACATAGAAACTTAAACTTAAAATAGCACAACTCACCCAGGCAGAAACAAGTCAACAGTCATTTAAAATTTCTTTGGATCCTAAATGTTTGACCCAACCTGAAGCAAAACAATTGTAGCTGAGGCTTTTGAAAGCTTCGATTTGGCTCGTCGTAGCCTATAACATGAGGTCTGCAGCACCAGATAGGCTAGTAGTTTATGTTGATCGCCTCAACACCAGGTAAATCCTCTAGATTATATAACAAGTTTTCTTATTAAGATAATATGAATTGTATCCTAAATGTATGCATATTTTTTGTGATGTCTGCGCCAGCCCATTTAGGGCTTTAGCATACTCGCTGTGATCCATTTTGCTGTGTTTTGAACCAGAGGAAATCACTTCCTGTCCCCCATCTGATATTCACGCGTCATCCGGGTCATGTGACTGCAACCCAGCAATAGCCTGGTAATTTGGCAGTACTGCAGCTCAGTGGTTAGCACCGACACCTCACAGCAAGAAGGTCATGGGTTCGATCCCCAGTTTGAACCTGGGGTCTTTCTGTGCGGAGTTTGCATGTTCTTTTCGTGCTTGTGTGGGTTTTCTTCGGGTATCCCCACCCCTAAAAACATATTGCCTCCAGGCCCAGGCCTCCCTTGAAAAAGGGATCTGTGATCTCAATGGGATTTTGCCTGGTTAAATAACAATAGATAAATAAAAATATAAAAATTACTCTCAGTGCATGCATAAAGAGGCAATCCTCATACAATGGAAGGAGACTTAAGTCAATCTTTTGCACAGAAGAGCTGATATATTAGTTTGTTAACTTCAGGTGTGTTTAAAGAGGTGAGGTACATTCCTTTTGGGAGAATACTAGTGGACCACATTATCAAAGAGACCATACTGGTTTGAAAAAACGTTTTAGTCTGAAGGTGGCAGCTGTAACAAGGTATTACCTGATATCAGAATACAGAGAAAAGTACCCAAGACAGTTCAGAAACACGACAGGCCAGAATGACACCAAACTCAGTCATCCAGATCTCCACCTACCAAGAATCCAGAAAGATGAGGCTGATGTCTAGTCCTTTACTCAAGTAATGGAAGTCAGGCTGACAGAAATCTCTTTGGACATTTGAAACTAGTTGCAGAAAGCAGATAGCTGCATTTGAATGATGTTTTAGCTCACCCGGCCACTCAGACCTTTTAAAGACATCTTTCCTGCTTCAAAGCTTGCAATATGTAGAATGCCTTAATCTTCTCTTCCACCCTGTCAGGAAACTTGGTGACTGGAGTTTCGGACTCCATTCTTTCTCTCCTGAAAGCTCTGTAAGACTTTATCAATTGTATGAACATCCATGAGGTCTTAAGTGACACCAGCAGGGGCAGCAATGCCACTTGACAAACTGACAATGTCTTCATGATCATGATTAAATGGATTTATTCTGGCCCATCATGTTTCTGAACTGTCTTGGGTACGTTTCTCTGTATTCTGAGATCAGGTAATATATACAGCTGCGTCCTTCAGGCTGAAAACCTCTGTTCCACCAGCTGTTTCTGCATCTTTATTGATGGCCTATTCGATAGCTTGGTCCACTGAAGGGTGAAAATAAATGTTCATTGAATGTGTACTTATGCCTCTCTGTGACACCTACCAAAATTCAAAATCCATCCATCCATTTTCTTCCGCCTATCCGGGGTCGGGTCGCGGGGGCAGCAGCTTCAGAAGGGAGGCCCAGACCTCCCTTTCCCCAGCCACTTCTTCCAGCTCCTCCGGGGGAACTCCAAGGCGTTCCCAGGCCAGCCGAGAGACATAGTCCCTCCAGCGTGTCCTGGGTCTTCCTCGGGGCCTCCTCCCGGTGGGACGTGCCCGGAATACCTCACCAGGGAGGCGTCCAGGAGGCATCCTTACCAGATGCCCAAGCCACCTCAACTGGCTCCTCTCGACGTGGAGGAGCAGCGGCTCTACTCTGAGTCCCTCCCGGATGACCGAGCTTCTCACCCTATCTCTAAGGGAGAGTCCAGCCACCCTGCGGAGGAAACTCATTTCGGCCGCTTGTATCCGGGACCTCGTTCTTTCGGTCATGACCCAAAGCTCATGACCATAGATGAGGGTAGGAACGTAGATCGACCGGTAAATCGAGAGCTTCGCTTTCTGACTCAGCTCTCTCTTCACCACGACGGACCGGTACAGCGCCCGCTTTACAGCAGACGCTGCGCCAATCCGCCTGTCGATCTCCCGCTCCGTTCTTCCCCCATTCGTGAACAAGATCCCCAGATACTTAAACTCCTCCACTTGAGACAGGGCGACCCCCCTGACCCGGAGAAGGCACTCTGCCCTTTTCCGGCTCCGGCTTTTCCGAAAATTCAAAATGTCTAGCAAAATACCATCACAGGAGCCAAAAGGCACGTTGCTTGTGGTAATTACGATCTTATACCCGCCTAAAAGTTTTAATGACATGAAAGGTAGGTGTGAAGGACCACTTCTAACCAGTAAATTACTTTCATATCAGCCATTTCCAATCTTTCTTAAAATAAGACATTAAGTTAGTAACACAAAACAAGTTAGTAACAAAACATCAAATCGTGATTAATGGACAACTGAACATTTTTCTGCAAATATTTAATCTAACGTTTACCAATTTGATTTCCTTTTTTTTTTTTGTCTTGAAACTCCCTGAACCTGGTCATACCCAGAGTCTGGATCACCACATATCAGACCTGCAGCTCCTCCTGGAGGTTTCAGGAGTACAACGTGTACAAAAAAAAGCTAAACACATCAACCAGTCTGCGAGATTCTCGTGGGTGGGGGGGACGACTCAAGGTCAGCAGGATCTTCCTTCTTCCATGTCTTGTTCCTGTAGAAACTTTCTGGGTTATTTTTGAATTCAAGGTTTACTGTAAGATGTAAGAGAATCCTTGTCTTTGAGCAGCATTTTGAAAGACCGTGGCTACGTCGATTCAAGATGATAAACAGGTTAGGGAGAGAAAGACTCAATGAATTCTCAGTGAAACACTATACCGAGAGTGAGACAAAAACAGTGTTTTCACCTTTTTTAAGCTGTCCAGTACAGAGTAATAGGATATTTAGTTTGTTCAGAAGGTTTTGTGTACTCTGGAAAAACACACTGCCTAAAATCAGTGTAGATGTTACATTTTCATACTGTTTTTTTTTTTCATAAAACCTATCAGTAGGAGACCATGAGCAGAATTCAATCAGACAAATATTTATACTTGGTTTTCTTATCAAACACTAAAACCCCTTTTTTTTCCAGAACCGCAACTCTAATTTTTATTTTATCGGCTATTAAGCTAAAAGAGGCTGAAATTCTTGCCTACGTTAAACTTGACTAGGAATTAGACTTAGGGTGGGGAAATAATCCCATTGGTTCATTTATTTGCCACATCTGTTTGTGTAGCTGATGATGACTAAGGTGTGTAATTGGAGATTTAGTCAACAACTTCAAACATCCACAGAAAAAGTTATAAAAGACAGAGTTTATTGAAGATAAAACACTAATACAGTGCAAAATATTTGAACAAAAACCCTAACATGGTTATCCCAAACTAAGACAATAACTAAATTCTAAAAAGAAATGTTTTCACTTTCTCACAGTTCTGAATACCCTGCTGCCAAGTCAAAATACTTAAACTTTTTATAGCAAACGCAGAATGTTGCACTTAGAAACTGTCAAGAGTATAAGCACTTAAAAAAACTGTGAGTATAATTAAGGCTTGTGAACAAGTGGACCTGATCCTGACGAGGGGAAGGTCTCGTTATTCCCATGTCTGGTACTTTGTTGGTGATGCAGATCCAAAATGCCAAGGCAGGTCCACACCGAAACTGTTGTGGACCAGAAAGCCAGCTAAAGCTCTTTAGGACAGGGCTGATATTGTCCTCTTACGTTCTTTCACCATTTCTATCTTTGGAAAACTCTGAAAATGAAAAAAAAAAAATCAGATTAATAAAAGCAAATAAAACCAGTAATTCCAAAGTTCTGGCCTGACCCAGTCAGAACCACCAATATTAACAAATATTTTGGTGCCTTGGGTAAGAGAATCAGACAAAACACAAAAGAATGAAGACACATGACAGGATTTCAAAGAATGAAGAATGACATCAGTCAATATTTTATCTGCAGTGAACAGCTCAGTTTGGAAAAAATAGGAAGAATTCATAGCAGCATATTTTTTCTACTGCTGGTCAGATCAGAAGAACCAGAAAAACATGCATTGCATGAATTCCTGCATCTGTGTGACATGGAGGCCTGTGGCAATGGTGTTACGGAAACCCAGGTTGTTTAGATACTGGCCTTCCACTGAGTCTGGTGTCTCATCTCACAGATTCTCTCTGGAGAGTAGACCAGGCCTGTTTACTGGTCAAGCAAACACAATTATGTCAAGGTTCTTAAACCAAGTATTGGTAAACAGGTAGCATGGACAGGTGCCAAGTCCTGCTAAAAAATGAAATCCATGTATTCATAAAGCTTGTCAGCAAAAGAAATTATGAAATATTCTAATATTTCCGCGTAGACTAATTTCTTTAATTGTTATGTAATGTTTGCTTGAGTTGCTATGAATGTTTTGAAGTTTAACTTGTTTTAAACAGAGATAGAAACATGAGCAGTAGTTCGATTCGCAGACACTCATTTATTTTCTGATGCATGCAGGACGTGGAGAACCACTTAATCTTCTGAGTTTGGCAACCCTCCCTCCTCCTGCTGTGTTATGTTGCTGCGCTGTTTATGTGTTTCTAGGTGTAGCAGGTGAGTTCTCTCTGATCTGCTCTGTACAGATATCTACATCCGTCTTTTGTTCACTTGCTGCCAGGTTATCGATTCATCTTGTGAACATCCACCCAGTATTAACATGTCTGATCCACTCTGAATCACAAAGAAGATTACTTGATAGTTTCAATCCCTTCTCATCCCTCAGCCACACCTCAGAACAGGGACGTGTGATCAGAGGAGGCAGGTCAGGCAGAAGTCATCATGAAAAACAAAAATCAAAGGGAAAATCATGTATTTTTGTTTTATATTGGGTTTGTGCTGTAAATATAGTCTGCGTGATTCCAGTCATTTTAATCATTTTTAACAAATTTGTTAGTTTCTTATTAAAACAGTAGCGAGATCTGAAAGGTCAGGCTTCAGAACGCTCAGTCCAACACAAAGCTATCTGAGAGCATGGGAACACGCCTTTTGATTTCTCACATTGGAGGATTGAGTTTTCAGTAGAGCATGAACCTTTTAACTCTGATTTCTGGTTTTGACTCAACATTTCACTGGATAATCGCATCAAGGAACACCTCAGAGAGGAACGTAGTTGCAGAGACACCTCCCAACTAGACACTCAGGTGTGACATGAAGACTACTTTGAGCTGAAGGGTTCTGGGATGACCAGGAAATCCACCAAAGATTTTCCTTCCATGAAAAACATCAGGTGGGTGATTGTTTTCACTGTGGTCGATCTGGGCATTATGTGTGCAACTGTTAACTGTAGCCAAAGTGATCCTGATGCCCTGACTGACTGTGACCAGTTCCCAGCTGATGAAATTACAGATTCTCAGATACAGATTCTCTTCATTACACCAATGACTTACTGAAAAGCTCACCCAGACAGGCCTGGGCTACATAGAGGCTCCTGCTAAAGAGGTACAGTAAGGCTGACAGCCCCCTTTCCAGTTTTGTTCTTCTGCTCATGTGTATGTGTGCATGTTTCCAGGCATGGCTGCTAACCTCCAACTGCGACGCCCACTTGTGACTCACAATTCAATCTACCAGCGTATGTCGACACCAGTCTGGTCTCCACTTGTTGCCAGTTTCTAAGTTTACCTTATGTGCAGGGTAAACTCCTCGGGGACAGTTCCTCTGGATTGGCAGACCGGGGTGGTGGTCCCCCTATTTAAAAAGGGGAACTGCAGAGAGTGTTCCAACTATAGGAGGATCACACTTCGGAGCCTCCCTGGTAAGGTCTATTCAGGGGTCCTGGAGAGGAGGGTCTGTCGGATAGTCGAATCTCAGATTCAGGAAGAGCAGTGTGGTTTTTGTTCTGGTCGTGGAACAGCGGACCAGCTCTACACCCTGAGCAGGGTCCTGGAGGGTGCATGGGAGTTCGCCCAACCAGTCTACATGTATTTTGTGGATCTGGAGAAGGTGTTCGACCCTGTCCCTCGGGGACTCTTGTGGGGGGTACTCCGGGAGTATGGTGTACCAGGCCCTTTGATATGGACTGTTAGGTCCCTATACCACCGGTGCCAGAACTTGGTCTGCATTGCCGGTAGTAAGTCGGACTCGTTTCCGGTGAGAGTTGGACTCCGCCAAGGTTGCACTTTATCACCAATTCTGTTCATAACTTTTATGGACAGAATTTCTAGGCACAACCAAGGTGTTGAGGGGATCCATTTTGGTGACCTTAGGATCACGTATCTGCTTTTTGCCGATGATGTGGTCCTATTGGCTTAATCAGATCGTGATTTCCAGCTCTCACTGGAGCGGTTCACAGCCAAGTGTGAATCAGTTGGTATGAGGATCACTGCCTCCAAATCTAAGACCATGGTCTCGAGCTGGAAACCGGTAGGGTGCCTTCTCTGTGTCGGGGAGGAGGTCCTGCCCCCAGTGGAGGAGTTTAAGTATCTCAGTGTCTTGTTCACGAATGAGGGAAGAATGGAGCGGGAGATCGACAGGTGGATTGGTGCTGCGCCTGCAGTGACACAAGTGCTGTACCGGTCTGTCATGGTGAAGTGATTTACCGGTTGGTCTACATTCCTACCCTCATCTATGGTCACGAGCTTTGGGCAGTGACCAAAAAAACAAGATTGCGGATACAAGTGGCCGAAATGAGTTTCCTCCGCAGGGTGTCTGGGCTCTCCCTTTGAGATAGGGTGAGAAGCTCAGTCATCCAGGAGGGACTCAGAGTAGAGCCGCTGCTCCTCCACGTCGAGAGGAGCCAGCTGAGGTGGTTCATCTGGTTAGGATGCCTCCTGGACGCCTCCCTGGTGAGGTGTTCCGGGCACGTCCCACTGGGAGGAGGCCCAGAGGAAGACGCAGTACATGCTGGAGGGACTATGTCTCTTGGCTGGCCTGGGAATGCCTTGGGATTCCCCGGACGAGCAGGCCCAAGTGGCTGGGGAGAGGGCAGTCTGGGTCTGTCTGCTAAGGCTGCTGCCCCTGTGACCAAACCCCGGATAAGCGGAAGAAAACGGACAGACGGATGAACCTTGTGTGCATCCACCCAGTACTCACCTGTCTGCTCCACTATAAATCACAAAGATTACTCAAAACAGTTAAAAGCCACTCTCATCCCTCAGTTACGCCTTTGACTCCATGTTCTGAACAAAAAATTACATAAGGCACAAGCTATTCCTTATGTAACTCCACAATAACTCACCCTCCATCTTCAGAAAACTAAAGTATGGACACAGGTTTAGAACTCAAAAAACTGCAAAACTCATATTCTCTTTAACACTTTACAATCAAATAAAAATAAAAACTTACAAAGAGTAAATAAACAATCCAGTAAAAAATCCATTTGTTTGAATTAAATTATGTGGGTGCTTTCTCACCTTTAATCGTTCATCCAAGCAAAGAGACAAACATGATCACACCCATGAACTGTGTGAAGAGGATGAGTGGAGTGAAGAAGGACCACACAGGCCACAGGGCAATGTTAAAGCTGTGGAAAAACAAAGCATACAGAAAAAACAAATAAAAATGTCTGTCACATTTACTAATAAAAAATAATAGTCTCATACATGTCAAGTTGTATGGATTGTCCGTAATTTACACGGATTTTCCATAATTTTGCAGGCATACAGACATACAGTATAGAGCAATCTCACAGATTTTTTCAAGTTTTATGGATTCATTCAAACCCTCAGTTTCAAATTAATTTAACATGTCAGAGCATGTAGGATGTTTAAAAAAACAATAAATAAGATCAAATAACCATCTTCCAACCTGTTCTGCCACAGGAAATAAGACTAGAAATAAGTTCTCTCCCCCCGCGTGCTTTGAAATGCTCTATAGGAGGCCATTTTTGTATTTGTTCTACAAGTATAACTCTAATATCAAGTGTCATGTTCTCCCCACTAACAGTTACCCAAGAGTGAGTGTTTCACTATGTTTTTATTTTATTTTTTGTTTGCTTTATCACATTTGGAGATATTAATCAGTTCTGTGTGAATTTATTCTTTAGAATTAGGTCAAGGTCAAATCATTCCAAATAAACACTTTTTGTTTTGTTTGTCTAAATTTCTAAAGTTTTCATAACTAAAAAACAATACTGATTTTGGAGTTTATCAAACACTTTGACACAATGCCTGTAGAATGCCATTTATTGTTAAAATTTGATAAAACGACAATACAATTATTTTAATATTGCAATTTTTTTTGTAACCAATTTAACAAATGCTACCTAACTGTACATGATCTAAGGTCTCTGCATGGTCCATCCAAACTGCCGAAATCAGCTCTCATTGTCGCAGTTGCATGACAAAAATTGCATTATGATTGCAAATTTGAATCTGCCCCTTTTTGTCACAACCTGCCTGAAGACCTTTTTACCCCCTTTCACATAAGAAGTGAGTTTGAGATTGGTCAGACGTTTGTGGCCGTGCTTTGTTTATGCTGAAAGTGCTCTGACGCTGAATTTAGCTTCAAACACTGGCTTCCAAAAAATAATAAAAATCACTTGCTTCCAGAAGTCGACTGTATACCTGGAAGCAGACATTTAGCTCACAAAGATAGCCAAAAGGCCAAAAACTTGTGAATGAACAAAAAAGAGATGTTTTGCAGGGAGTAACCCATCTGCAGGAAAGTGTGGAATTTTAACTGGGACAGATATGTGGACAAATAACAGCAGATCAGTGTACCACATTGGGAGGCGTTTCCCAGGAGCTCGACTCCGTGTGACCTCAGGGGCTATGAAAGGTGTGTGCAAAAATGAACGCCAAACAACCAACAAAACAATGTGACTGGGTGTTGACTGAGTATGTGGAAGCTTTTGCAGTGGAGCCTTAACAAGCAAGATGTTTTTTTTCCTGCTATTATTATTATTAATATTATTATTGGTGATGGTACTGGTATTTGTATTGTGTTGGTATTATTAACCTTTATTTAACCAAGCAAACCTCGCTGGGATTCAAGAGAGAAAGAGAGGCCTGGGATTGTGGCAGGAAACTGGAGAACCCAGACAAAGTCAACACAGAAATCCCCCAGGTCCAAACCAAGGATCAAACTTCTTGCTGCCTTACAAGTGCTAACTAATAAAGCCATATTTACTAAACCTGCATCAAGTTGTGATTTGAATGTACCACTTTTACTCGTACACTGTAGCACTGCCTTGTAATGGAACTAATACTTTTATGTTTAAGCAAGTATTTCATGACATCCTTTAATGACCTAGGTTTTCATGACATACTGTTCATCTGCAGATAGAATGATTAAAGTCAGAACAAGATTTGCTAACAATAATCATTCTTAGATATCACTTGTGTTTATCTTTGTTTTCCATTGACCTTGTATCAAATCTTGCTAAGATGACATAATGGTGTTTCTTAATATATATATGAGGCCTCTCGAGACACAGTGAGTAGTGTGGAGAGACAGTGACAGAGAGAAGCAGAGGCACAGAGACAGGCCAGGTTGTTCTCTGTGTTTCTTGTTGTTGCAATAAAACTCAGCTGATCATCTCACGGAGTACCTTCATTCTTGGACCACGTATTTCTGTCTTTGTTAAATCCATATTGCATAACAGCCTCATTTAACCAAGACTTTTTATTGTGGATTTCAATACTAACCTATTTCCTTTCCTGTATGATGTAAGTCAGCTGCTCTGTAGGTCTTCTTTAGTTGAATTTTAAATAAACCTTCAAGCTGAAAGGATGTGAATGTGTTTTTGTTGTGCCATTCTGCTGTGATAGTGGAGACTAATCTTTGTATTTGTGTTTTACCTGCATGATGCAGCGATAAAGGCTGCAGTGGTAATGGGAGGAATGGCAGGATACTCTTGGTCATAATGCTGGATGCCTTTGAACCACTCCAGGTACACAATGCAAAACATTGCCAGAGATATGCTGATCCCAAGGAGTATCAGACCAACATTAAACCACCAGCTGAGGAAAACAGAGAAAGATTAATTTATTGCAGTAGCTGTAGAAAGTCAGCAGAAAAGTAAAGGGTATCACATCGCAACCTCCATAAGGTATCACGTGTCGGTGCTTTTCTTTGTAACAAATGTGCCAGAATTTTAATAAGACAACAAAAACCTCTGTGACAATGACAACAATACTCCTCTTGAACCAACAAAGACTTTCTTGGAGCCTTTATACAGTTCATGACATATACACCTAATATGGTGAGATGGAAATAATACTTTTTGGTTTAAGCCAGTAATTCATGACATACTTTAATGACCTAGGTTTTCATGAAATGCTGTTCATCAGTGCTTATAGCCAGAACAAGATTTGCTGACAGCAATCATTCTTAGATATCACTTGTGTTTATCTTTGTTTTTCCTTGACCCAGCATTTCCTTAGGATGAAATCTTGCTTTATTAAGATGACATGATAGTGTTTGTTAAACAGTATATATGAGGCCTCTACTGCCTCAAAGAAGCAGAAGCAGAGAGCAGGGGGACAGTCTAATGGCTCTACGTATGTTGTTCTCTGTGTTCCTGTTGTTGCAATAAAACTCAGCTGATCATTCCACGGAGTACCTTCATTCTTAGACCACATTTTTCTGTCTTTGTTAATATTTCCATAGCATATGGTTATAAAAAAGCACACACAAGTTTTATAAACCATGAACAGAATTGGTTTTAAAATTAGTAAATGTAACTTTATATAAGCATGTCATGTCATCTTACACAGTTTTTAGGATTAAAAAAAAAGAAAAACAGTGTGTGAAAAAAAAAACAAGCATACTCCATGACTCGGTGTGTTGAACAACCTTCACAAGCTGGGTTGAGCAATCATCTTCCAAATGACCTTATTAGGCTCCACATTGTTGTGGAAACCTAATAAGGTCTCACAACATTATGGGAACTTTAGTCATTGATACCTGAGGATGTTTATTTGAGCACAAATCACCAATGAGTTTACCACAGCATTTCAGTCTGAACTTTAAGCGAATCAACACCTTTTGTTCAGAGATTTTATTTTAGATTTGTGACATTAGATTATTTGATCTGTTCTCTGATTACATTTTGGCCGGGCTACTGCTGTTGGACAAATGGGATCACATTAGACTAGTTTATCTTATTATACAAGTTCTCAAACCTCCACTTTGATCACCTAAAGAAAATGACCCAAAAGTCTCATGAGTTGTTCAGATGTAACGTTACAAAACTAAACCATAAAGCCTTTTTTATTCTTCTTTTTTAAAAAGGCTCATTTATAGCTACTTCATCTAAAGACATCCATGCTGTTTCAATATTTTCCCATTTGTTCTGTTGCAATTTTAACATGTACCACACTGACTAAAGCCTGTATATTCTGAGATGTTACTCTTGGGTGTTTGGGCAGTCTCTCTGACCRTTGCACGGTCTAACCTTTGGGTAAATTTGTTGAAGATAGGCTGCTGTGATTTTCACTTGAAATTAAATACTCAGTAAAATGAATAACTCCAAATTAATTGACTCTTCCAAACTTACTTTTCTAAAATTCTGATGCTTTTTCTTCTTCTAAAGGTTTTATTTCAGGAATATATCATCTTTGCTTGAAAAGTAGATGATGAGCAGCTCATTTAGACTTGTGCATAGTTAGACAGCAAGGCATGGTAATTAGATTGGTCATCACATTTATGGAGATTTGGACAAGAAAAGGTGGGTGGATAAACTGTGTACGATTTGTTCTTTGGATTTTTTGCTTCAAAACAAAATTGCAAAAAGAAAACCGTGTTTTTTGTTTGTTTGTTTGTTTGTTTGCTTTCCCACTTTTAAAATGTACATGTAAAAATGTAAAATTAAACAGATTAAAACGCCACAGTGTTTATGGCAAGCCATTTTAGCATAAAATCAGATTCATGACACTTCTATTCCAGATATCTGAAATTGAATTATGACTAGTCATATTTGTTATTTAAGATAGCTCTAATTATGACCCCCGCACGCAAAGCACAGACCCTATGACCAAGCACAGGGTTTCCCTGTGCTTGGTCAATAAAAGTAACATTCACTGACTTCCACAATGTTTTCTCTTCATTTTGTTGAGTGTTCCTAAAAGCAAACAAGTTGCACTTTGGAATGACCTTATTATTGTATCATGTTTTTGATCTGAGTTTGTTTTACAGAATGAAAAGTCTGAATGAGTGCTCATCCAAGACTGGTGATTCCATACTTTTTGCCAGGGGTTGTACATACATTTTTTTGTTTCTTCATTTTTCTCCTGTTGACAGGTATATGTATTTTTCTTTTTATTTTCTTTATTTTCTTTATTTATATATGGCTCGAAATAAACTCAAACTTTAACAAAGACAGACATATATGGTATGGCATATTAACAAAAGTATAAATGAATAAGAAAAAAAATCACCTTTATTGTGTCTCAGTGGAGAAAATTAGGTGCATCAGCAGGAAAGTGACAGGCAATTCACACAAGGTAAAAATATATTTAAAAATGTATAAATAAGGAATTAAGTAAATTTTAAAGAAAACAAATTATATAAAAAGTATATTTTAATAGAAAAAAACATGCTTGATTGTTCCTTTGAATTCTTTTCTCTTTTAAACAAACACACTAAGACCCTACTGTACACAGCAATTAAAAATTATAAATACAGGGTTGCATATAAGCGGTGCGCAGGTGCGGATGCGCGACCAAAAAAGAAAAAGCGCACCAGATGGAACGTCATAAAGCTCACTTGAGTATCTAAGATTGTACCTGAGATTGTCTGTCAAAACAACAACTAGCAGGGCTCTAGAGTGTGACCACTTTGGTCGCAAATGCGACCTGATTTCTTAAAAAAAAAATCCAGCTGCACTGGTGTGACTGGATTGTTGCTCGGTGCTCATAAAGCCTCTCAGGACAGCAGAACCCTGACATAAGGATTAAACAGACACTGCCTTCAACAAATCAGATGAAGTCTAGAGCTGTTTTATCCAATCACAGCAGAACAGTGTGGGATTTTCAGTGAGAGCAGTTTTCAGCAGAGGCAAATTCGAGCAGCGGCTGCAGCGACCAAACTTTGGTCTGTAAAACATAACTTTATATTAAATATATGTTCAGAGCGTCATTATCAAACAGATCTGTCTAACTTTGTGTAAGTGACTAAACTCTCTCCTCCTGATGAGAGAGAGCTGTGACTGGAGTGTGCAGGCGTCTTTCTGAGAGATTAACTGTTTGAGTTCTTCTAAYTGAACCACAGTAACTCTAAAAGAACATGTGTTTGCCCCATATTAAAGCAAAGATGATTCTCTGTTTAACACCCTCATCAAAAAAAATTATATATATTAAAAAAATTAAAACAACTTGCCATGTTCTCTAGGTGAATGAGTTCTAAATGTTATTTTAATTTATCATAAAGATCCACAAATTTCATTCACAATTTGATTAAAAAAAGGTTCTTGATGTGCTAAACTTGTTTATATTTAGGACCATACTGTGACACAGCTTTTCTGGGATAAATGTAATTCAATAAATGATCAAATATGAAGAAGAATAAATAATTACATGAGCTGAAACCATCTAAATAATATTTTTGAATAAAATAGTCTTTTAAAAAAGAAATCAGTCTAGCAAATAAAACATTTGTATTTTTTAAGTTATTTTGCTCTGTGCAAATGACATATTTGCTGCTTGGATTGGAGAATGTGGAAAGCTGGTTTAACCAAGGCYRAAGATCCAGAAGACCAAACTACAGGAGCTGTCCATCTGAGGGACTTGTGTAGTCTAAAAGATATTTAACCATGAAATGTTCGGTTTGTGATATTTATATGATATACACCCAGCCCCTCAGCCACTTACGTAGGTAGTTTATAGAATTTATGTAGAGTAAACAAATAAAATAAAATACTCGGTGGACTGATTCGGCATGATGTCCTGAGACGTTGCAGCTGATAGGAGCCATAAAACAGAACAGGGGGACGTTAGATGCCCTGACGCCCCATAGATAAATGTGTTAAATGAGTGAAGGAAAATATGAGCACCAAGCAACAACCCTAGCTAGGTTCTCCCGAGAACCAGACCAAAAATTTTATGTGCAACCCTGTATATATAGGCCTATATGTATGTGTCACTGCGAAACCTTCAAAATGTGAAGGAAAAAAACATCAAATGATAATGCGAGAGCACCAGTTCCAGATGTTATTATTTTGTAGATTGCCAAATAGCTACGATGACAAAATATTATAAATGGACAAATAACCAAAACTGTTGCTCAATATTACTTATAAAAAGATAATCATGTGATCTGTTTTCAAGCTACGCTGGTTAATGCACAACATATAGACATAGTTGCTTTCTCTGGTTCTCCCTATCGAGAGGATCATCTAAAAAGCCAGCAACACAGTCTTATTTTATTAAATATGAATACGAAATATGAATAATATGTGCACGCCATGAGCTATCTAGCCTGCATATGATTTACAAGTAGTCGTACTAAGTCACTAGCCTTACACTTTAATGTGCTTTTAGGTGGTCTGCAGTGTCAGAGGTCAGTCCAGCTCAAATTCTGTTTTAACACAATTTATATCTCTGTCAACATGAACTAAAAAACAAATAGTTTATTGTTATGCAGCTTCACAAAATTCTGCAGGCAACTGTTTGGACAGCTAAGTGGCAGCATGGGGGCTTGTCAGCAATTTCTTATTTCAGATATCTAAAAATGTAATTTCAACTAGTCATAATTACATTTGAGATATCTTGAATTGCAATTATGGATGTTTGACCCTTCAAAAGATGAATCCAGTGACATAATTTTAGATATCTTAAATTGCATTTTGACTAGTCAAAATTCATTTTCAGATATCTTGAAATGGAATTATGACTAGTCAGAATGTTAATACAGATATCTTAAAATACCATTCAGGATAGTCAAAATGTAGTTGTTCCTAGTCAAAACTCATTATTAGATATCTAGAATGGAATTACAAATAGTCAGACGAAATCAATTTTATACTAAAATGGCTTGCCATACCGTGTTTGATTTTTCTTTCAGTGGCTGAAAGACTGCTTAAAAACAAAAAACATTTCTAAATATATCAGCAATGGCCAGGGGCGGAGCTTCAGGGGGGGGCGCCCCCCGGGCCTGGGTACATGTGAGGCCCGGGTTGGGGCCCAGAGTGAGTCTGGACCCTGTCGGGCCCAGAGGGAGATAGAACTTAACCCTTAATTTACATCATGCTGTTCTGCTCTGTTCCAGTCCAACCTCTGCAGTAAATAAGCAACCATTATAATCAAGAACAGTATTTACACTGGCTCCTCTGATGGTGCAAAGCAGCGAGTGGACCGAGATCCACCAAAATTAGATTCATCTTTTGCCCGACACCAGAGCTTCTCCGGAGTCAATTTACAAAAATCACACCGCACCAAGAGGAAGAAGAACGAGCACAACTTCCGTATTTACAAAATAAAGCCCTAAAGAAAAGCCAATTTTGTCAAAATGTTTGTTATATTAATAATTATATGGATATATTTATACATAAATACTGCCAAATGCATCATTATGATTAGGAAGCAGATGGAAACATGCAGCTCGCAACATTTTCATACACACATGATATACGTGGATTTTATTCTGAAATCAGAAGTTTCAAAAAGTCAGCAGCGATGCAGTTTCAACTGTGTTTAGTCTGTTTTACGCAGAATGACTTATTTTGCTCAGACTTCTACATTTATCACTGAATTTATTGTGCAATCTCGCATTTCCTGCACATTCTTTCCGAGCTCCTCACACTGGACCGGATGAGAACCAGTTCGGAGGCAGTAGGGAGCTGACCCTACCACACCTGAGGCAAGGTGGAGAAAGTGGGCCCTCCCCTGAGTGCATCTAGAAGAGTCCGGTCTGCTTTGTTTTAGAACCTCTTTCAGGGACAAGATAAACAAAAATATTTTGTGGATCTGGTAAAAAAGCTTCCATCCAGCAGTAACTTCAGTGATGTTTGCACCGCTCTCTTTTTATTTTTGACTCTTCCAGCCACCGTTTCAACATCTGAGTGCTCATTCTCCAAGTTAAAACTCACCACTTGCATAGCATGTCAACCACTTTGGTTGTTTACCTGTATAATGAGCCTCAAAAAATCCATAATTTTAGCAATAAATAAATAAAAATAATCTGTATTAACACATGCGCGGGTTGTGTGTGTG